ATTCAAATGTCTTGTATTTAATTGATAAGTTACCCGGGTATCAACCAAGGGGTCCCTCACTTCCAAAAAAGGTGTACAACGAGTTGCCGAGTTGGCGAGTTGCCGCGAGTAGGCCGCGAGTTGGGATCAATTTTAAGAGAGTTTTGCGCGATTTTGGTGCGAGTTTTCGCCATTTTCACGCGAGTTTTCGCGAGTTATCGTGAGTTGTCGCGAGTTGTCGCGAGTTAGGCGCGAGTTGGGCGCGGCCAAGTGTACAACGAGTTGACGAGTGGGGGACCCCTCGGTATCAACGCCACAGGCCGTGGTAGTTTATTCCAGGCTTGTCGTACTGTGACAGCCGTCCGCGAACCCTAACTCCAGACTGATTTACGACATCCGTACGACAATCCTGTGACTGTGCAACTAGGGGAGCTAGCTATAGCTTCAAAGTTTGTTTTTAAAATGAAAGGTTTAAAGGCTTAGTTGCGTCAGCTCTTTAGCGTTGTGGTTTTGTTTGTTTGTTTTTCCAGTGTGGTGTATTTAAGTCGACTGACGAGCTGCAAGGTGAGGACGAGTACCTTTTTAAAACGTCGCAGAACCGCATGGAGTGGAACGTAGAGGTGCACGTTGATCGCGGTGACCGTGTTTGGGACGTGCGCTCAGGTATCCTCGTGCGCGCATCAATGGTCGTCACGTGTAAGTATCGTAGGTCCTGATACATATTCCAGCAGACTTTTTAGCAGATGATACATTTGTAACTGAAACTTTGAACACTTTACACAACTGAAATGAATAGTAGGAATGATATTTCAAACGTGTCATTGCTTGTACTGTCATGAAGCGGCGTGCAGAGAGACACACAGTGTGACGTCACCAGTGGAAGATATACCAGGGGGGCGGCTGGTTGTTGATGGTGGCTGGTGGCCCGCCCGCCGAGCCACAGCCAGACGCCCACTTTCCCCTCCCTTCTACCTCCCTCCCGAGGTGTAATGTAGATAGGTGGCCGCAAGCGGGTGAGAGTGGGGGAAGGCAGATCCTTCGCGCCACTCCGCCGATCGGTTTGAAACGTGCTGGGTGCACGCTGGACCAGGTATTAGCAGGTAGCAAGGGTCGGCTTTAGGCCGGTCAGCCGTGCTCGGGTCGAGCCTCGAGCCTCAGGAGGGGCGGCGACGGGTCTTTCCTGGCTCCTTAATCGCTTTTGAGTACCCGCCGGCGCGAGCGCTGCCCTGACAGTGGTTGACATGGAGATGCGCAGTCGGTTCTGCGCATGTCAGATCCACCAATGAGAGCGCTTGCGGCCACTTATCTACATTACACCTTACTCCCGCCCGCCCGGCTCGGCCGGCGATCGTCTGGAAGCGCAGCTCGGAGCCCGGCCCGGACGCTATCATATCATGTTATCATATCATATCATATCATATCATGTGTCAGTGAAGGAGAATAAAACGCAAATGGACTTGCATGATATAAATAGCGGTATAGATAGCATGTAAATATAGGGTAATTGTTTACTTGAGTGACTCCTCGCCCTGGAGTCACTCAAGTATACCATCCGAAAGGTATTTTTCAGTAGAATCCTGAACAGTATTTATATATTGGCGCTCGAGTCTGGTTTTCCTCAAAATTAAGTAAATATGCGTCGCCGCTAACCTTCAGATGCACTTTGAAGACGGGAGGATAACTTACGTTTACGGCTAGTCCTAATGTTGATCGCTCCGGCTGGGGTTTTTAAATCATTGCTCCTGCATCAAAGACTACGCCTG